ATCTCCAGGGTGGATTGGAAACCTTGTTACACTTTTGCAAATGATCTTTCACATTGTGACAAGATGGACTTTGCATGAGCAGAAAAAATTATTTCTTTGAGACTGACATATATCTCGACCCTCTGCAGCATGTGTTTCTATAAGCCGGAATGTTCCAAACCACAATGACTTCGCTCATACTCATTCACAAATCACCTGCACTCGAGTTCCTGACACGGAATATGCCAAATTTACGTTAATTCACACATCATGCATTCATTATCCTGCTCCCTTCATGAATTTAAACAAGCTTAAGTATGAAGTGCCCTTGGGTATTACTATACAAGCAGCACCTGCTGCTCTTTTGAAAAAAAGGGCAAAAAAGCTTAGTATGATTTGTCTGCTGATGAAGTATACGGTACTGCACTCGTTTATAAAGCTTTGGGACATTAACCATTTATTAAAATAAATAAATAAATGAAGTACAGGATTGGCTTTTGATCAGCTTCTGAATGAAACAGGCATGTACAAAATATATAATATGACTCACTCCTGATTTCAGTGTAATTAAAACAAATCAGTTTCTGAAAGTCTAAAGTGGAAAACTAGGAGACGTCAAGGCTGCTTCAACTTTCGAAATTATAAGGCATTAATAAAATGTAATCTGAAGTGAATCGTGCCAGACCAAGAAGTCAGTTACTATGAGCACGCGAGTCCCTCGAGCTGAGCTTGTTGAAGGCTTTGCAATCCTTGCATTAGATTGCATAAGAGACTGCCTTCAATCCAATTTAGCATCATCTTTTATCCATGTCTTAAGGAAAAAAAAACACAGCATGTTGATTGTGCAATTACACATTCTAGGAGCCTCTCTAAAACTGTGCCCAGCAGTCAATGTGTTTCATAACGGCTGAGTTCATTACGAATTGTTAGACCAGGTCTCATGATTATGGATCAATCAAGTGGTGCATCCCTGCAAAAATCCCATTTTGGGATTAGCCTTTTTTATCCACAAATACTTCCACAGTGAAACACTGGCAACAGCACATCATCATGCAAAACAAGCAAAAAGGTCTGGTATCGCTGGATAGCTGTCCAAATAAAAAAATAATGAGTTCACAAGAAGAAGCAAAAATGTACTAAATGGTCATTAAAATGTCTGGCAATTACACCAAATAATCCACACGTAGAATAAAAGTTTGCTACTTTAAACATTTTATTAGTTAGTTTTTTTGTAAAAAATCAACACAAATCCACCAAACAATGTTATGCATGCACAGCTTTAGTATACAAGACTGACAAGTAACTTTTCAATATGAAAAGATCTATTAAATCATTTATCTCACAGAGATAACAAAAACAGTCAATTAATACAGTGGTATTAAAATCAAAGGCCAAGTGTTGTAAAAATATCAATATGTTTTTAAACTCTTTAGATTCTAGATTTACAAGAAATTAAGACTTCTATATAAAACAATTTAGTGCTGTACCATACACTCAGTGGTCATTTTATTAGGTACACCTAACTTGTACTGGGTAGAACTCACTTTATTAGGTACCCCTAGCTACTGTAGTACCGGGTAGGACCCACTTTATTAGGTACCCCTACTGTAGCTAGTACCGGGTGGAACCCACTTTATTAGGTACACCCACCAAGTAACGGGTAGGACCCACTTTATTAGGGACACCTACCTAGTAACGGGTAGTACCCACATTATTACAGGTACACCTAGGTAGTCCTAGGTAGGACCCCCTTTGTCTGCTAGAACCACTTCAAAGGTAGGTGACTTGTGATTTCAGAGAAGCCTTTCTGCACATCATCGTTGTACAGGGCTGTTATTTTGACACTTCCTTTCAGCTTAGTCTAGCCATACTGCGCCAACCTCTCTCATTAACAGGGTGTTTTCAGCCACAGAACTGCCACTAACTGGATGTTATTTTGTTCACTATTCTCTATAAACATTAGATACTGCAAAGCAGTGACATCCCAGGGGGGGCCTGTTTCTGAGAGGCTCGAACCATCGTCTGGCACCGACAGTCACACCACATTCAAAAATCCCTTACATCAGGCGTCTCAGCCGTTCTAATGTTTAGCTAGACAGTAACTAAATCTCCTGGCCCTGTCTGTGTGACTATGTAATGTATTCGGTTGCAGCCACATCACTCGCTGCTCGGAGGAACGGGCTAGAGTACCTAGTAAACTGGATACTGAGTGTATTTGACATTTTTGTACATTTTGAAGAAAAACCAATGCACTGTATGAAAACTTTCCTGATAAACTAAATTGCATTTTGAGTAATGATTAGTGATATTTTACGTATCTCAAATGATAGTAATGGACAGCTATGCTGAGTACCAGTTTAGGGATTTAATGTAACCTCATATCTAGCCATATAAATATGTGAAATCTAAGAACTCACCACAACCTTCTACCAACTGCAAGATGGATGGACAGATCAGATGTGCAATTCACATCCTGCAAAATAATATTAACAATACAATAAAATAATGAATTCTAGCTGACAAACTATATTATATGTCCATACTAGATTTGGAGCAGGGTTACTACATCAAGTTCAAGTAATTAGTCCCAAAAACTGTACAGTTCTCAAAAGGTTTCATGTGCAGGTTTCATAATTATATTCTGTGTATTCGTGCATATTGCATAATTACTTATTACATATGGCCTTGATTTATATAAAAGCTTGGTCTTTGTTTTTTTGTGACAGATAATTCCATCTGACTGTATCTGGTAATCTCCATTATACACTGGGTGTACAGTCCAGACATTGCTTTGAAAATTGCTGTTTGCAGTTCAATAACTCATAAAAATCCATAACATCACTGCAAAATAATGCTTCAGAAATGCCCATATTATAAATAAAAACTATGTTACAAGAGTCATTTCCGTTATAAAAATCCCTAAACAACACTTGACCTTTAAGAAAGTATGAATGAAAACATTAAAAATGTTCCCATTCTGATGCTTCATTATGGTAAGTATTACAAACTCATTGTCTTTTACAATTTATGAACCCACCAAAATAATGAACAGATGCACTAATCAATTGCAGTTTCAACACGGTTAACATACGGTAAATCTTCAATAACAAGAAAACATGATTCAGAGAGAATTCGCAAATCATAAATAAAACTACTAGTTTATGGTAAATACGCTCACATTTCGCAGAAGTGTATTTAGATTTTTTTATGCGGTTTCATTCATAAAGACTAGCTAAAAGAAAGATACAGGAAAGACGAGAGAGACAAAGGACGTATCAGAACATAATCTACCAAACACCTGCGACGGCAACGTCAATCAATCAGCCGTCAGGATTCTGACGGCTATAATAATTGGGAAGAAGGATCGATATCCCATTCGCTCTGCTGCTGAGGCCTAATCAATGAGCGTAGGCCTCAGTGAGGGAGTAGTTAGGCCGCCCGACCGTAAGTGCTGTTTGGAGGTAACGGGCCTGCAGGGCCCAGCTCACCAGTCCCGCCGGCTGAACAGGGACGCCACGTCACCTTGGTTCATTTCCTTGTGCTTTCATTAGACTTTGAAAGGAAGTGCATCGTGCGAGGGCCAGCAGGGAACGCAGCCTCGGTGCGGGTAATCAGACAGCCGGGGTTTGAGAAAGGCACCATCCCCCTGGAATTAGCAGCCATTTCCACGCTGACCGACAGAAAAATTCAGGTCTACAGGTATCATTTGAGCATTATCTGAACAATGCCCCCCCCCCGAAAGTAGGCAGCCCTGATATAACACAAAAGTTAAGACTAAATACCATCTCTAAATAGTGCTAAACATCAATCTGTATTACTCCCGATATGCTTATTCTGTCTGCTCATAATACATATTACATGTGAAACCTAATTCTCTATATTATGCAGTCCAAGCAAAATCCTACATATGTGTTCATATGTATGTGTGTAGTGTTACACGGCTGGGTCTGCACTTTTACTGTACAGAATTTAAGATTTAGACTTCTATCTGTCCATCTTATAGATATTTAATAAACCAACCAATTGCCACTAATGTCTTCTATATAAAACTTATTGTTAATTTTCCTTAGTGTTTGTTGTATGTCTGCTAATTATATACATCTAACAAATTTACTATTAATGTGGCTGTCAAAAGAGAAGAGCTAGACCTACAATTTCTAGTGAAAAAAGGCACTAGTTTTGTTCTTAAATTGTCTCATCGTTCATGTAGCGTAACTCTAAGGAGAAGCCAAACGCATTGTCCGTCAGGTCAAGGTCAAGTTTATGCTAGAGTAAGTCTGAATTGAAAAATAATAATATGACGCGAAGCCAGTGGCTCGGCCTGCTGGCGGTCAGAGTTCCTCGGCGGCCTGGGATTCCGTCCTGCGCTGCGTAATCATTATTCGTACACCGTAAAGAGCTGCACATTACACTTAGCCCAGTCCAATGTAGCATGAGACGGGTCTAGATCTTAAACGTTCTTTTTACAGAGAAAAGAAGCAATAGTTAAAATTACATTTTTAAGAGGCACAGGTGATTCTAGTGGTTCCTAGCCCTGGTCCCCGATTCAATGTTTTTTTTTCCCCTACTGTCTGTCAGAAACATACCATGAATGTTTTTTTTTTCATTTTGGGCAAACTGACTAAATGAAATTGCAGACTAACTAAATCTACATCTTTTTCTAACACTGCTGTTTTGCTTTCGAGACAAAAAAAAAAAAAAGCAAAATAGCGTAACAATGTAACCAGATTAAAATGCTGCTAAATAAGATTAAGCATTAAAGCTCAAAACAAGAAACATCGTCACCAGGCTTCGTTGGACAAAAATAGTATTTTCATCATCCAATCATCCACATCCTATGTCTGGGCTTGGATTAAGCACCTAAGAAAAACACCTAAAAACATATAAAAGAAACAAACACAACATGATATGTAAATAAATTTTCCCAACTACTTTGGTATGTAAATGGGATTAAGGCATTATCATTTTCAAGGATCATTGAGGCAAACATAAACAAGCAATCTACTCATATGGACATTTTGTTTTTTTTTTATATAACAACATTGTCTCTTGTAAGATTGTTTTGTTCAGCAACATGCACACCAAGGATAATTTGGAACATCTCCGCTTACAATACGCACTCTCCGAAACAGTACATTTCAACACCTTCTCCCTGGAACTGAGATTTGGGTACATTGATTTACATATGCTACTTGTGAAAACATTACGAATTAAAAAAAAAATATATGAGGATGAGTTAAAAGAAGGCTATGTCTTGTCTGTGTGGTTGGCTCAGCTATCACAACGTCAAGCTTAGTGTGGAGATTACTGAAGAGCAGGCCAGGATCATGGGTGCCGAACGGAGGCTTGACACTCGGGAGCCATGCGCACCCATACCTGGAAAACACCAGAAGCACAGATATCTAAGAACGAAGACAGAACATCCATACATCCATACTTATGCAACAGACTATGTACAGTCAGCCCTCGTGCATTCCAGCTTCGTGATTCGCCGATTCACAGATCCGCGAAAATTACACGTACATGTTTTCCTATTTTATTGAATTGTACCTTGCTTACGTACATGACTTCTGTCAATAACTTTACAGTCCCGTTAGTTTACTTATTTTACCTTACTGTGAATGCAAAAGAAAACGGCAGCCAATTGTGGTCTATGAATTAATAGGGTTAGCATTAGTATACTGTACTGTAAATGTGCTAGTGTGTCAAATATCCATTAGGCGATACTGTACTCTATTTTTACATCAAACATTTGGTTTTTTTAAAGGTAATGTATTAAGCTAACTTTTAAATGAAATTACAGTGTTTTGGGAGCATGACTGGGGTCATATTTAGGGTTTAAACTATAGAAATAAGCACATACTGCCATTTTTAGTGACTCTACCAAACATCCGCGAATCCTCCTCATTCGCGACGGGTTCTGGAACCTAACCTCGCGAATGTCCGAGGTCTGACTGTACACCATCGCATGGTCAGGT